CACACACACACACACACACACTCTCTCTCTCTCTCTCACACACACACACACACACACACACACTCACCGAGGATGTCGGAACGGTTGAAGAAGATACTCCCGTCCCCGGGATTCGAACCTGCTCCGTCCACGTCAGGCCAGCCGTGATGTCCGGGGTAGAGAGAGGAGAACATGACGTCAGACACAGGACTGCTGGGGGTGGGGGCCAGGCGGGCGGTGGCTGTGGTCAACTCGACATGTCTGGGGGCGGAAACACGACATAACACAGGTCAAAGGTCAAACTAGTCAAACGTTTGTGCGCTCGTCTCCGAAGCAGAAAGTCCAGGTTCAAGCCTCGGTTTGGGCACGGATTTTTTTCTCCCCCTCCTGCCCACCCAGCAGTAATGGGTACCTGACTTCGAGTTGGGGAAGTAAAGGCGGCGTGGAAAGGAACTGGCCACCCTACCACACTATGCCGAAGACCCAGGAAGTAGTCTCACTAACAAGGCGATCCCCAATGTCCGGACTGGATGCGGGAACAACTTGACTGTTTTACATTTAACTTTTTAAAAATATTGGTTTTATTTGGTTGCTTTTAAGGACAAGTGGGTTACCACTAACCCAGATTTCGGGGGTTTCCAGAAATCTTGACCTACACCAAAAGTGGACATTGCCCTACCTAAAGGAGAAGTTTGGTGTCATTGGTGTGTATATTTGTTTGGTTATAGAGAAAACTCTCCTTGTCTTTTAAAGAAACTGAAAAAGGGGCAAAAACTTTATCTTTGATTGTCTTTAAAAAAGCCTTTTTGGGATAGCCCCCTTGTGCTTAAAGGCGACCATCTATTTTACATTAGAATTCAAGTCTATGGGCGGCCATGACAGTGTCTGATCTAGGAGAGTACATCACGTCTATGGGCGGCCATGACAGTGTCTGATCTAGGAGAGTACATCACGTCTATGGGCGGCCATGACAGTGTCTGATCTAGGAGAGTACATCAAGTCTATGGGCGGCCATGACAGTGTCTGATCTAGGAGAGTACATCACG